TTTTGTATCCTGCATACTATTTTGGAAAATAGTAGGCAGGGTACAGTATATACTGCGCAGTATACTTGTATTCCATTCTGAATGTAGGTAATGTTTAACAGTTTCTGTCCTCATGCATTCATTCTTTTTTGTTTTCTCTCTGACATTTTAGAGCACTGATTCAGACCATGTTGGAGCGCTGTGACCGGTTTCTATGGTCTCAACAAGCTTAAAACTCCCGTGTCCACTTGATCTCCACATGCCTCCAGGACATACATGTAGTATTTTGTCTCCCGTTTCCTATTTAGCTATTTAATAAGGTGCTGACACAGTATTAACAATGGACCTTTTTATGTTAAACATAAATCCATTAATACATAAATTATCCTATGGAGTTGAATGGAACAATTTATGTAAGAATGCTTCAATCTACACTTCCATGTTCATTAATGAGGCCCAACGTGTTTTCATGTGGTTTTAGGACTATACAGGATATACAGTATATTCCTTGAATATATAAAATAAATGACACTATATATATACAGTGTGTATATATATATATATATGGAAAATAAATAAATAAATGCATATATAATTATATATTTAAATATAAAAAGTATTTGAGAACCTTGTCTAACTAACAAACCTGTGTTGTTTTAACAGAGACCACTATAAATAATTGCGAATGTATGAACTAAAAGAGTTTTTGTAACTAATGCCATGTGACTCAGCTGGTTTAACAGGCGTCTCTTAATGAAAAGCACAACAAATACAAGGATCATGTTCATTTATAACCATGTTGAAAGTGTCGTTTCTTTGAACGCACGACTGAGAGAATCTCTCTTCATCGCTCTTCATGCAAACTAACATAATTTGAGTGGATGGAAAGACTACTAGCAATGACTTTGTGAGGTTTTTATGAAGTTCATTTTTTCGCGCCGACACTAGATTTGGATTGTAAATGGATGTGCTGCGCTATTCAAACACATTTAAATCTTGTGCCAGCTTGTGGGTCCGTGAGGCATGTGCTCCCATCAGACGTAAAGTTATTCACACCTGTCCCGAGTGCTGCGTGTTAAAGGAATAAATAGTTTACCCAAAAATTAAAATTTGCTGAAATTTTATTCAACCTCAGGCCACCTGAGATGAGTTTGTAGATGTGTTTTCTTCATCAAAACCAATTTGGAGAAATGTATCATTCCATCACCTGCTCACCAATGGATGTGAATGGGTGCCGTCAGAATGAGAGTCTAAACAGCTGATAAAAACATCACAATAATTCACAAGTA